AAAAAAAAAAAAAAAGCTACTTATAACTCATTATGTTTACCTCACTGGTGCGGTTTAGGGCGGACTTTTGCTCCTGGGAGAACCTCGTTGACGTGCACAGTGCGCAACCTTTTGTCGTTTGATGTAAAACAGTCACAGCAGTTCTTGCTCAATAAAGGTCAATACTGAAAACACGCCTTGTTCTGATGCTTTTTCCCCTAATTTAAACCCTTTCCTTTCTCCTGAATGGGAATTCGGTTGAGGGGTTGAAAATTTGGGTGAATTTTTATTTTTCCTTGTGATTTGTCCGGGAGTTGGACTTTCCTTGGGGTAAATCGGGATGTTCTGTGCTTTAGGAATTGGGTAAAGGGGCAAAATTCTGATGGAAAATTTCCTGTAACAACACAAARACTGGATAATTAATTTAAAAAAAATAAATAAAAGCCACATCCTAAATTTTCCAGAGGAAAATTGAGCTCTTCTGGTTGGCCTTGAGGTGCTCACAGGGTTGCAATTCCTTTTTTTTTTTAGGAAGGGGAAATTCTGAGCCATCAATCCTGCTTGTGCTGAGGGCAAAAATATTAAAAACTGCTATAAATATCATTTCCCTCCTTGCACACCAACATCAAATTTCAAAAAAAATCTTTGATTTTCCTGTCAGGAGAGGCAGTGGGAGCCACAGTTGGGTGTGGCACCAGTTTTTCACTTAATTAAGAAAAAAAACGATTAATTAAGTGAACTCAACCGAACCACCATAAGCTCCTCAAAACAGGCTGGATTTTTGTTATTTTACCCTTCTTGCTTTAATTGTGTGGGAATTCATCAATTCTCTGTCTCGAATGATCCAGAAGTTCCATTTGCCTCTAAACACGAAATTTTAAAATCAAAAAAATCAATCCAAGGTTTATAAAACCTGAGATTTTTTTTGTTGTTGTTGTTGTTTCCAAGAGAAGGACCTCCCATAGTGGAGGCCTCTTCCAGGTTGGTTTCRTTAAAAACAAAACCAATCAAAAATTCCTTTTCATGGAAAAATAAACAGAGAAAAATAAAACAAATGGAAAAGGGTGAAGGCCCCAACTCCAACGTGGGAATTAATCAATTATTACGGGATTAATTGTGCTCATTTCCCGTTCCAAAAGGCAAATGAAGAGTGCAGCTGCTGCCTCACCTCCCCTAAACTCACAAAGAAATGCGAATAATTCCCAAGCCTGGTTTCAGGCCCTGAAATCTGTTTTTAGATCAAAATTTCCATGTGCTTTCCATTCTTCACCCCATCAATAATTGGAGATYGAGGGGGTTTTTAATTGAAGAGAAATTGGAGAAAGGGTGGAGAAGCAGCAGATGAGGTTTCCCGATCAATCCGGGTGTTTTTGTGCAGAAAATCCAGGGGAAAATCTCAAAAATGGGAATCTGCTCTCGCCAGTGGTGTTTAATTAAAGAAAAAYGCTCCAAATTAAGTGGCAGCTCCTCTACAGTCACGTGTGTGGGTGTGACATGAAAATATCTTTACCTGGAGGAGTTAAAATCTCCCCTATTTTTGGTGTCTGTTCAAACACAAAACACCCCAAGGTTTGTGAGGAGTTAAAAATTCCCCTATTTTTGGTGTTTCTTCAAACACAAAACACCCCAAGGTTTGTGAGGAGTTCAGATCTCCCCTATTTTTGGTGTTTCTTCAAACACAAAACACCCCAAAGTTTGTGAAGAGTTAAGATCTCCCCGATTTTTGGTGTTTTTTCAAACACAAAACACCCCAAAGTTTGTGAGGAATTAAAATCTCCCCTATTTTTGGTGTTTGTGCAATCACAAAACACCCCAAGATTTGTGAGGAGTTCAGATCTCCCCTATTTTTGGTGTTTCTTCAAACACAAAATGCCCCAAAGTTTGTGAGGAGTTAAAAATTCCCCTATTTTTGGTATTTCTTCAAACACAAAACACCCCAAGGTTTGTGAGGAGATGTTTTCCCCTCAGATTTAAACAAAAATTTACGAGAAAACGCCACAGCAAAACCTCAAAACTAAACCAGARGCAAATGTTTAAAATGGATTTACACATGGGGGCCTCCGAGTAAGTTCTGGAAGCTGCTAAAAATGTCCCAAAATGCAAAAAAGCAGAGTGGAAAATCGGGAATCTTCAGCACGGGGATGGGGAAGGGTCACCTTGCGCAGGGAAGGAAATGTTGGAGTCAGCAGAGATGGAAAATGTTTGACGTGTGCAGGTGGGATCCCAGCCCGGCTGATTTTCACTCTGAGCTTCCTCTGCAGCTTCTTTCCCTTCAGTCCTGCTGGGATGTATCTCCAGGAACCCCAAAATTGTGATTTTTTGCTGTTTTTCTCCTGTTTTCCCTCCTCCCACGGGCTGCACCTCTGCGCACCCATTTTGGATGGTTTCAGGAGCAAACCCTCGGCACGATGTGACCCTCAAAAATCCCCATTTTCCTCCTTTCCTCACCCAAAACATCCCCCAGCTTTTCCTCATCACCCACAACCTCATTTCCCCCTGCCAAAAAACCCCCAAAAACGCGTGAATTCAGCCCATTYCCCGCTGCAGATGTTCCCAGCAAATCCTGGGAGGGACAAACGAGYGGTTAACACATTTCGAAATGTTTATCAAACTCTAAGAACTGATGAATATTTCACGGCGCCAAGAGGGTTTTTTATTTTTTTTTTTATTTATTTTTTTTTTCTGTCTGCTGACATCTGCAATCGAGCAGTTCCAAAGGAGAGCGCAATTCCAGAGGCAGAGAGGCATAAATAGGATTTTGTTTGCCTGTTCTGCACCAATTACTCCTCCAGACTGAAAGGAATAATTATTTTCAGACAGGGAAGTTCATTGAGCGATAAAAAAAATAAAAAAATTATGCGACGGGAAAAACAATAATTAAAGTGATTTAAGAGGGAGGTTTTTGGGATTTTTTTGAAGGTGGGAGAAGGTGGAGGGCTCTGAACCGGGATCTGCTCACTCTGCTGGCTCGTGGAGGTGCCAGAGTTAATTTTCAGCATTCCAGAGCGGAATTCCAGGTGGGAACTGAGGCTGGGAAGCGTTGCAGAGCCCGGACAGGCTGCGTTCGCCACGGAGCTGAGTCAGGCACCAGAATTTTCTCCGTTCCTCGGGGTTTGTGCTCTGCCTGGTCCCAGCCGGGCTCCGCTCCTGCTGCTTTTTCCTGCAGCAAAGTGGCCTGAGCGATTCTGGCAAGGCAGGAAAAGCTGAATTGTTGATTTTTGAATTACCAGAAGGTGAATTTGTGGGGGCTGAGGGAGGGGAGGGGGTGTCTGAACATTTCAGCAGCCAGCACCACCCTGCGAGCATCCCGGGATGAGATCCCAGCCCCATCCCGACCCCAAAGAGCCGGGAAAACATCCCCGGACTCTGCCGGCTCCACTCGCAGCTGCAACTCGGGTGCAAGTTTCTCCCTGTGCCAGCTTTTACTGCATTGCGTCAAAGGCAGCGCCTGATTTTCCGAGGTGAAGCCGGTGCTGGCTGCAGGATCCATCCCCCGGCGCCGGGGGCAGCTGGGGACACCCCAAACCCGGCCCCGGCCCCGACCGCCCCAGTTCGGGCAGCTGGGGACACCCCAAACCCGGCCCCAAACCCGATCGCCCCGGTTCGGGCAGCTGGGGACACCCCAAACCCGGCCCCGATCGCACCAGTTCGGGCAGCTGGGGACACCCCAAACCCGGCCCCGATCGCACCAGTTTGGGCAGCTGGGGACGCCCCAAACCCGGCCCCGATCGCTCCAGTTCGGGCAGCTGGGGACGCCCCAAACCCGGCTCCGGGACAGAACTGGGGGACACTGGGGTGGTCAGTGAGGGCAGCACTGGGGGACACTGGGGTGGTCAGTGAGGACAGCTGGACAGAACTGGGGGACACTGGGGTGGTCAATGAGGGCAGAACTGAGGGACACTGGGGTGGTCAGTGAGGGCAGATGGACAGAACTGGGGGACACTGGGGTGGTCAGTGAGGGCAGATGGACAGAACTGGGGGACACTGGGGTGGTCAGTGAGGGCAGAACTGGGGGACACTGGGGTGGTCAGTGAGGACAGCTGGACAGAACTGGGGGACACTGGGGTGGTCAGTCAGGGGTGGTCAGTTCGGGGTGGTCAGCTCGGGGTCAGCCCGTCCTGCAGCCCCTGCTCGGGCTGAGTCCTGCAGCCCTGAGGAGCTGCGATGAGTTAAAAACAGCGCGGGGAGCGGGGAGCGGCCGGGAGCTGGGAGAGATGGGAATGGTGCTGGAATTTGGGATAGGATCAGCATGGAGCTGGGAGAGATGGGAATGGTGCTGCAATTTGGGATGAGATTAGCATGGAGGTCGAGATGGGATCAGCCTGGAGCTGGGAGAGACGGGAATGATGCTGGAATTTGGGATGGGATCAGCCTGGAGCTGGGAGGGAGGGACGGGAATGGTGCTGGAGCTCTGAGAATGATGCTGGAGATCGGGATGGGATCAGCCTGGAGCTGGGAGAGATGGGAATTCTGCTGGAATTTGGGATGGGATCAGTCTGGAGCTGGGAGGGACGGAAACGGTGCTGGAATTTGGGATAGGATCAGCCTGGAGCTTGGGATGGGATCAGCCTGGAGCTGGGAGGGAGGGATGGGAATGATGCTGGAGCTCCGGGAATGATGCTGGGGCTCTGGAAATGCTGCTGGAGCTCTGGGAATGCTCCTG